AGCCTGGAGACCCTGGCTACTGTGGCTGCAAGACCAGTGGATGAAGTAGTGGCTGTATGGGAGCCTGCAGGCTGCATGTTTAATCCCTTATGGGCCATATACAGGCTGCCAGTGAGACAGCCTTGTTTTAGACTTGGCTAATGCTGAGCACTCTGGGTTTTCCTCTGAACAGAGCAAAACTTGGTTCCAAGAAACTTGCAAAATTTTACATTTTGATGTGTGGTGAAAGAGTGAGCACCAAGAGCCTCAATGGCTCATATCTAATCTGGCTAGCTTGTCTTTGGGTGGAAGAGGGCCATAATGATTAAGTTCCATGAGAATTCTGGGAGTTGGATGTAGTGGGTTAAGTTCTTTTCTTAACTTGCATAAGAACAAAAGATAAAGCTACAGCACAATGTTAGCTGCTTAAACCATCAGTCTGCCTCATTTAGGTAAGTAAATCTGCACCACTCAAACTTGGAAAGATCCATTTTTAAAGTGGAGGTGTGAGTTGTTTGGCTTCTGTCTTCTAGGCACAATGACAACAAGACCTTCCTTGTCTGGATCAATGAGGAAGATCACCTTAGAGTTATTTCTATGCAGAAAGGAGGCAATATGAAAGAAGTATTCACCCGCTTCTGCAGTGGGCTAACGCAGGTGAATTTCTTTTTAGATTTCTATGTTGGCAAACAGCTCTTACAAGAAATGGTGCAGGATTCTCTGCAGTGCTCAAAGTGCCGACTTACTGCAGACTCTGGAAAGAACATGTGCAACTGCAGCAGTTCTGGGCAGTGTGGCAGAGAATCCCAAATACATGAGCACAATGCAAGATGTGCTGGAAGCTGTGCAAATGTTCTGATCCAGCTTGGGCATCTAGCAACATGCCTGTAAATATCGATGGCTTAGGCTTGGAAATGTTAACCTTGCAGAGTGGTTGCTGAAGGGTCAGAAACCTTCAAGACATTGCTGCAAAGACTCTATCAACGCGGGCTTCTTCCTCCTGTAACACTTAAATTTAAATGGAATACCAGTTACCAGCTTGCACAGCTGCAAGCACTAGAAGATGACTTTGAGACTGGAAGCTTCCACATGGTTTGTACTCACTAAATATAAAGGCTGCTTGCAGACATGGGAAAGCCTAACAAAACAGTGCTTTACTTTTAAACTCTGCTCCTGTGAGTCTGGTGCATACCCAGAAGAGGCAGCATGTTAGTTGTACCTGGTTTTCCCAACATCTATAGGGATTGGGCACTCTTTTTTTTTTAGTGGGGCTTCTTTGGCACTTCTTATCTAATAGTTGATTTGAATCTGCTTTAGCTAAAAATGCAAAAAAGCCATGCTGAAGTGCCTGATGTATTTAGATGCTGCAGAGCCACATCTAAGTAATAGGCTGATTCTTCCAGTAGTGGTTCCCCCCACCCCATGTCTGTCAGTGCCCAAAGTGGCTATTGCCAGCAGTAGGTGTTTGGATTTTTTGCTAAAACTTCCAAAAACTATTGGAAGTAATTTACTATCTTTTTTTTTCTCTTTCCTGTAAGCAGCAATAAACCCCAGTAAACTAGTGAAATGTTGTGGCGCATAAACTGTATAGTGTTAGGTCACCCCTTCTTAAAGCCTGCTCTAACGCATGGGCTTTGCTGTGTGTCCTGAAAGTCATCTACATGTTTTTTCCCTTTCAGACCACAGGGAGCAAGAAATGAGCTCTTGAGACAAAGGCAGCTCCTGAGAGAATGCCCTGCTGTCAGCTCCTGCTCTTGTGTGGTGGGGACTTGGCTTGAATGCTTCAACTGTTGCTAGCATGAGGCATGGAACAAGACAATGCACACTAATAAGGCTGTAAATGAGAACTAATTGATGACCTCAAACTATTGTAGGGAAGGCACAGACAGAGCAGTCTAATGTATGTGGGCTTGTTTGTTTTTTCTTTCTTCAATCTAGATTGAAACACTGTTTAAAACAAAAAATTATGAATTCATGTGGAACCCCCACTTGGGCTACATCCTGACCTGCCCATCCAACCTGGGAACAGGTCTCCGTGCTGGTGTCCATATCAAGCTGCCAAACCTTGGCAAGCATGAGAAGTTTGGAGACATTCTCAAGAGGCTGAGGCTGCAGAAACGAGGCACAGGTGAGCACTTGAAACACAGAGCTATATGCACCACCCCTTTTTAAACCCTTTCCCATTATGACAGAGCTGAGTTCAAGGCCTAGATTCTACAGGCTGTCTAGAAGGCTGCTAGCTAGATGCTGGCTAACGGGGTACAGGGGCCATGTTAATGCATCAGCCTCCATTGTGGAAATTGAATGGAGCAGTCATAGGAACTATATAGCATTCTATTTGTCAGTGGCTGTAGATGGTGCTATGATAGTTTCCTTGATTTAATTACTTTGCCCACAGAACAAGTGTAGTTATTTTTTTTGGGGGGGGAGGAGAAAGAGGCTTGTTCCCATGAATCAGTATGAGGTTCATGGGGCCTAGAAACATTCCCCAAGACAGAAGTGAGATGGGTTGACTTATTCTTGGGGGGGGGGGGGGAGTCCGGTAAACTTAGGCAGTACTGGCTTGGCATGACCAAGGTCACAGTCGCTCTCTGGTAGAGCTGGCAATGGCACCTTCTTACCAGGAGTTGCATATATCACAAGACTAATTCAGTGTAGTGAATTGCAAGGGGACCTTTTCTATATTGAGTACGAATGCAGTAGTCCCAGATTTGCTTTCCTCCCTTGCCTGTTATGTAAACAGATTGTTGGGCTGACTTCATCTGAAAGGTTTTAACTCTTAACCTTCATCTCTTGCTTCAGGTGGTGTTGATACTGCTGCTGTTGGAGGAGTGTTTGATGTTTCCAATGCTGACCGTCTGGGCTTCTCGGAGGTAGAGCTGGTGCAGATGGTGGTTGATGGTGTGAAGCTGCTGACTGAAATGGAAAAACAACTTGAAAATGGTCAGTCTATTGATGACCTCATACCAGCTCAGAAATAAAAGCACTTTAATTCCATGCTTCCTAACTTATTGGATGAATAACAAATATCACTCCAATCAAAACCCTGGGGTTGAAACCCACTTAGTAACACTGTAGAAAAGTCTTCCATCCATCTGTGTTAGAGTTTATTTTTTTGATGGCTGAGATGTTGCTGAAAAACTGAAATAAACTATTGTTTTGGCTTGACAAGTGTGTCCTAAACAAATCTATTAACTGGCAGAATGCTGAATATCTAGCTAGGAGCCCAAAGTGACTTTTCTCTGGTTGATATTCTGTACTGGATTGTCTGAGCTTTGTGACATAGCTATGAAGAGTCTTGCTGCTTAACTTGAGCACTAAATACAGTGAATTACAAGTGGCTGCACCATCTTCTTTTTCTTTTCACTTGATCTCTGCTGTAAAATCAAATACTGTCAAGTGATATATTGGAGAAGTATTAACATCTCAATTAAAATACACTTTTTGGCAAAACTGCCATACCTGTGAGACTTGTGCATGTGATCTTGGCCCTTGCATTCACCTTCTGGATTCTCATAAATTCTCTTTTACTATTGTGACATGGGGGAAATTTGTTAGTCTTACCAAGAGACCTTACTGCCAAGGGATGCTTTTTAAGACTGGGGGTGAGGCACGTAACATTGAGGATTAAGTGCTGACTAATGATGGGACAAAATGCCTTACTAATTTATTCCCTTCTGAAGAAATAGATCTGCTGTAATAAGTAACTTCAACACTTTTAATCCTGCAAACTGGGTCATGGAGTGAAACATGATATTAAAAAATACCAGAGACCTGCCCACTTAAATATTCTTATTAGTTGAAGTGACTTGGAGCTAATTAATCTGTTTTGTATAAGCTGGGACACAGAGGGAAGTAGAAAAACATCCATTTCCCCCCCCCTTTCCATTCCCTCTACTTTACTAGGGAAAGCCAGTCTCTCCTTTCAATGTACTCTATTACAGTATATCAAAGTAACAAACCCCC